GTGTATCATCAGGAGGGTCACGTGTAGGACACAGGAGATCATTTCCCACTCTTTATTTGGGGTTAAAGAAACTGAGGAGAGATGGGGGAGAAACCTGGGAGAGGGTAATCCAGCACTGGTAAGGCTGGATTACCATGCCCAGTTAGAAACAACGTGGACAAATTGCACAGAGCCCAGAGGAGAGCCACACAAATGAGAAAAGGTTTAGAACAAACCTATGAGGAAAGGTTAAAAAAAAGCATCTATGTTTAGTCTTGAGAAGACTGGGGGTGTGGGTGGCGCAAAGCAGGGACTTGATAGCTATGTTCATGGCTGCTTGAAAGAGGACAGGGATCAATTGCTCATGATCTCCACTGCAGGTGGGACAAGAAGCAATAGGCTTAATGTGCAGCAAGGGAGATTTAGGTTAGATATGAAGAGAAGTTTCTAATTAGAAGTGTTATTGAGTTCTGGAACAGGCTTCCGGGGAGTTATAGAATCCCCATCCTGGGATGTTTTTAAGAACAGGTTGGGCAAACACCAGTCAGGAACGGACAGGGGTTACTTGGTGCTATCTCAGTGCAGCAGCTGGGTAAAACATTCTCATAAACAAGTCTACATTACTCTTGTCCTCACTGCTACACTGGAAGCACACACAAATGCTAATTAGACACAATTTCAGAGCTGGGCCAGAAGCGAAGCACTATACCAGAGATGGGGAAATGATTCACTCTTCAGACAAAGAGGTTTACTTGGTCCTGTCTCTCCACAGGGGGTTGGACGAGGTGAGCTTCTAGAGGTCCCTTCCGGACATACATTTCTATGATACTACATGCCTGCCTCCCATGTAAAATGTGGAGCTGTTGCACATTTACCATAATAATATTTTAACATCCCTCATCATAACTCAAACCCCTTCCTCTCTTCCCAGATGCTGCACTGCAGCCCCTCACCCAACCTCCATCCTAGACCCCGCACCTCCTCCATTAATATCATGGAAGAATGCAACCTTTGACCACTTTCCAAAATCTTGGAGTGGCCCCTCCATCAAAAATTACTTACCTACCCCTGGACTTGAGTAACTTCCATTGCACACTGAGTGGATGTTTTCAGAGAACTAGCCACGTTGGCCACAAGATCTCTCTCAAGTGCTAATAGCTAATTTAGTCTCCATCAGGTTATCTGTATAGCTGGGATTATGTTTTCCAATATGCATTACTTTACATTTATTAACATTGAATTTCATCTGCCGTTTTGTTGCCCAGTTACCTAGTTTTGTGAGATGCTTTTGAGGCTCTTCACAGTTTGCTACGGACTTTACTATCTTGAGCTGTCTGGTATCATCTGCAAATTTTGCCACCTCATTGTTTACCTCTTTCTCCAGAACATTTATCAATATATTGAATAAGATTGGTCCCAGTATGGACCCCTGGGGGGCACCACCTCTCTCTATTCTGAAATCTGACCATTTATTTTTACTCTTTGTTTCCTATCTTTTAACCAGTTATCAGTCCATTAGAGGACCTTCCCTCTAATCCCTTGACAGCTTACTTTCCTTAAAAACTTTTGGTGAGGTACCTTGTCAAAGGTTTTCTGGAACTCTGAGTACACTATGTCCACTAGTTCCCCCTTGTCCACATGCTTGTTGACCCCTTCAAAAACTCTAGTAGATTGGTGGGACATGATTTCCCTTTACAAAAACCATGTTGATTCTTCATCCACAAATTATGTTCATCTATGTATTTGAAAATTCTAATCTATACTTCTAGGCTATGTCTACGCTGGCATGATTTCGCGCAAATACTTTTAATGCAAGAGTTTTTGCGTTTAAGTATTTGTGCAAGAAAGCATCTACACTGGCATGTGCTTTTGCGCAAAAGCATCCGTCTAGTCTTTCTGCAATTTCACATTTGAGTTCTTTCAGAATTCTTGGGTGAATGCCACCTGGTCCTGGTTGAGTTTATCAATTTGTTTCAAAACTTCCTCTAATGACACCTCAATCTGGAACAGTTCCTCAGATCTGTCAGCTAAAAAGAATGGCTCAGGTTTTGGGAACCTCCCTAACATCCTCAGTCCTGAAGACCAATGCAAAGAATTCTTTTAAATTCTCCACAATTACTCGAGTGCTCCTTTAGCACCTAGGTCATCCAGTGGCCCAGCTGTTGTTTAGCAGGCTTCCTGCTTTTGATATATTTTTAAAAAAATTTGCTATTACTTTTCGAGTATTTGCCTATCTGTTCTTTAAATTCCTTTTTAGCCTTCTTTCCTTTTTACACTTCATTTGACAGACTTTATGTTCCTTTCTATTTTTCTCACTAGGATTTAATTTCCACTTTTTAAACAATGCCTATTTATCTCTCACTGCTTTTTTCACTTGGTTATTAAGCTAGGGTGGTATTGTCTTGGTTCTTTTACTTTTTTTTAAATTTGGGAGTAAATATTTAAGTTGAGCCTCTATTATACTATCTTTGAAAAGTTTCCTTGCGGCTTACAGGGATTTCACTCTGTAGCTTTTAATATCTGTTTAACTAACCTCATTTTAGTAGCTCCCCTTTCTGAATTGAATTCCATGGTCTTGAGCTGCTGCGGTGTTTTCCACCCCCACAGGGATGTTAAATTTAATGATATTACAATCACTATTTCCATGTGGTCCAGCTATATTCACCTCTTGGACCAGATCCTTAGTTCCACATAGGACTAAATCAAGAATTGACCCTTCTGAATAGAATAGCAATGATCAGAAATCACATGGGCACAACTGTGTCCAAAACAGCCATTTTTACTTATATGCAAGGCTTGTCTACACACACTGCGGACTGGACTGGTTTTTGGCAGTTTCTAAAAACACAGACCACAGTGAGCACCACTAGAGGGCTCACAAATAATTTAAAGGGATGTTACCTTATTTTCTTGAGTATTACATATTGTCACTCAAGGATGGTATACTGCCAAATCCTACTGTGCTAGTCATTTTCATTATGATTTCTTTGCTGCTGTGGCAGATCTGGGTGTCTGATAGGGCTTCTTGGCCCAGCCTCTTCCATTTGCTATTGCAGCTAAGTTATAAATTAAGCTGATTCAAGATTGAAAAAAAAAAGCATGTTCAGAAACACACAATCAAAACTGTCTGTTCACCTCAGCCACGTTTGATCCCCTTATTACTCTCTATTATATACTTTATTTTGTTCAGAAATATTTGGGAAAGAGCTTGCCTTTATTCAAATATGATGGTATTCAATATAGAGAATTATATTCACTATTCATGTATTCCCTCTGCTATCCAATTAAGGAGAAACAATGACATGGGGTGTCAGTAAGACATCAGGAACCATGAACAATTTGCTAATTATCCATAAACTGAAAATTAGTTATAATAACTTCTCTGTTGACACAGAGGGTATGTCTACACTACATGGCTCCGTTGACGGAGCCAAGTAGATGAGCTTTGTAGACATAGCAAAATGAAGCCGCGATTTAAATAATCGCCGCTTCATTTACATCAAATTGGCTGCCGCACTGTGCCGATCAGCTGTTTGTTGGCTCAGCACGGTAGTCTGGATGCTCGGCGGTCGACATCAAAAGTCTTTGTCGACCGCCCCGTTATGCCTTGTGGGATGAGGTTTACGGGGGCGGTCGACAAAGGCTTTTGATGTCGACCGCCAAGCATCCAGACTACCCCCCTGACAGCGCAGCAGCCATTTTGATGTAAATGAAGCGGTGATTATTTAAATCGCCGCTTCATTTTGCTATGTCTACAAAGTTCATCTACATGGCTCCGTCGACTGAGCTATGTAGCGTAGACATACCCTTAGTTTACTAATAGGTCAGCAGATGCCAGAATTCAACATATTGCAAAGGTGAAAATTTTATTTTCATTCATTCATACACTTAAATGAACACACTCTATTTAAAATCTTTTTGATGCTCTTACAGGCTGTAATCACTCACATAATCAACACACTGATGTCACAGTAAGATTCAGTAATGGGCTAGAATGAAGCAGGGAGAAGATCAAAAATAATAATTCACCATATGCCAGGACATCTGGAAAATTACAAAAAAAGTGAAAAGAAAAAGTGACTATTAAAAAATTTAAATTTTCTTTCCATTATGAAAGGCTTTCTTTGAAGTGAATTATATTTAAACTCAATGATAAAATGCATACAGGCCTACAGTACAGGCTTCATGTAGTGATTAATGAATGAAATACAGATTTCTGTTTAGAGACAGAAATGCAACTTACATCCCATCCCATGCATTCTGATCCAGAGCTATGCTGAACAATATTCCAATGGCTAAAAACATTACAGAGACTAGCATCAAAATATTTTTAAGTCTGCTTTAATTATAGCTCCTTTTGTGGAAAGCAAGTTTCCAAACACAATATACTGGATAATTTACCCACTGAAAAATGAATCATGTCTGTTTATAACAACTGTTAACAAAATCAGGTGCACAATATGATTTCAAATTGCTATAGAGTCAAACATTAGTCCTTTAATTGCACTTAGCATTTAGAAGCCCCATATGATACAACAACAAAGTCAAAAATAAAACAAAAAAACTATTAAAAATAAGACCAGCCAAACTGTCAGTAGGTATGCAGGTCACCTTGTCCACCACAGATACTCATTCAAGTGCTTAGTAAAAATAACTAATGATCCGGGGCCCAACTTGAGAACCCTTGATGGAACTTGATATTCAAAGAGTGGCATTTATTTTCAGAAAATCAGGCCCATTTAAGGTGTCCAGCTGGACACCCAAAATCAAGACACACCCGCCACAATAGTCACTTTGTGCTAGAGAGACCAAGATTTTCCAAACCAGCATAATATTCTATGTGTCTGTAAAAGTTTCTCTAAAGAACATTGTCTTTTTCAGTCACCAGCTAATGCTGGCAACATACTTTGAAAATATAAAGTATTAGATAAAGGCTATGAAATATCATCAAGTGCTTTGGACTTGCTTTTGTCCAGCTGTCCTGTGCAGTTTAAGTAACCTCTGGCATTAGCTGTACTTACAGCGCTCCAGCAAATTAGATGGTTTGTTTCAGGATCTTCCACCAGTGTCCACAGTTTAGTCAGGAATGCTGGCACATTACTGGAGTATCCATCCATTGCCAGGGAACTGGGTGAATCTTGCATAGTTTTTCAATGTTTCTGTTACACTAACTCCATCTTTTCCAATATGCCTGTCTCACTGTGTTTGTGGGTCACAGGGAAACTGAACGATTTAGTTTCATTCAGGTCCAGCTGAGAGCAGGCCCCCCCATTGAGTCACATCAACAGTGCTGTTTGCACTCTTAAAAACTCAGCACAATGCAACTGCATCACCAGCCCCAGGGAACAATGCACAGAACTAAAATGCATGCAGCTGATTGCACGATGCTGTGAATAAACATGCAGTGTCATGCAAAGAGAACACACGCTTACACCTTAGGCTGAGAGGTTAACAAATCAGTAGAATGAATTAAACCACATCTGGGCGACATGTTTTCAGGGTGCCAGGAAGAAGAGACACTAGAGAGTGAAGATACTGAGGCCATGTCTACACTGGTGGATGTTACATGCTGGCAGTTACAGCTCTGCTCACAGAGCGCAGCAGCAAAAACATGATTGGGTGCTCACACTGTCAGCCCCCAGAGCATTAGCGTGACCACACTTGTGGCACTTTCAGTACCTTTGGAAGCAGTGCATTCTGGGCAGCTATCCCATAGAGCACCTCTTCCTCTTCTGCCATAGAGGTTTGTGGGGAGGCACAGAGCATCCTGGGTCTTGTTCCAATGCCCTATGGGACATCACTTGGAACCCCAGCAACCCCTGTGCTTCCATCTGCATTTGGAGCCATCTTTCAATAGCTTCTGTGCTGCACGCTCTGCATCCTTGGTCTGCAGGAATGGATCCCCAGCTGCTGATGGGTCTCAATAGCATCTCACGAATGGCAGTCAGAGTTATTTCTGAAGCTGCAAAGTGAGGAGGAAGAGTCTGAGCAGTGTTCATATGACACGAGGTTTCTTGTATCATTCACGGAAGTGCTGAGCACAGTGGAACGCTGCTTTTGAGCTTGGGAAACAAGCAGTGAGTGGTGGGATCACATCATCATGCAAGCCTGGGATGACGAGCAGTGGCTGCATACTTTTGGATGAGGAACGTTATTTTCATGGGACTGTGTGCTGATCTCGCTCCCACCCTGCAGCACAAGGATACATGAATGAGAGCTGCCCTGCCAGTGGAGATGCACATAGCGACCGCACTGTGGAAGCTGGCTACTGCAGACAGCTCTATGCAGAGCACATATGCTCTATACTTCTTGGAGCCAGTATGGACACCAGGAAAGTTACAGAGGTGGGGGCTGATTTACTGCACAGTAACTTGCCAGTGTAGACTTGGCCTGAGTTTAAACATTAGTTAGGAGACTCCTTGTTTTGAATGTTGGCAGGCACAGATGGGCAAAATCAAGGCTGGTTTTAAATGTGCCAAGCCTTAATCAGGCTGCATAAAATCAATTCCTGTATCCCACAGTTCAGCAAGCTTTGGATGAGCAGCTCTAGTTTAGGTGAAAATAGATAGGTCCCAAATGCCACAGTCTGCTATTACTATTATTCTGGGTGTTTCACCCTGTGCTAGTTCTGAGCAGCTGGATTTATTTTGTCCACACTTTGGAGCCCTAACTCATGTGAGTATTCTCATTGGCTTCCATTGGACAATTTGTTGCTCACCAGGATAAAAGCACCACAATCTTGCCCTTTATTTTCTGCCTTAACACAGTGTACAAAAAGTTGTTTTCTGGGGACTTGATGACAATGTAATCAGAGCCCAGGACCATTTCAAACCAAACAAGCTTTAAAAATCTCTCACCAGGAATCTCTGACACATTTGACTGATAAACACACACAGCAGCTCACATGTAAGTGAGAAGTAACTATCATTCTCTTGTGAATAAAGTGACAAAATGAGTGTCATTAGCAATAGTTTCAGGGGGTGGCCGAGTTAGTCTGTACAGGATAAACTTAAAAAACAACAAATAGTCTGGTAGCACTTAAAAAGGTTTATCTCCAACCTTTTTAAGCACAAGACCACTTTTTGAATTTAAGTGCAATCCAAGATCTACCTCAAACCCAAATATTCTTTCCCCTGCCTCCTTTGTGCCCCTTCTCCAAGGCCCTGCCCCTGCTCACTCCATCCTCCCTCTCTCCCCCATCCTCCCTCACTTTTACCAGACTGGGGCAGAGGGGTGGAGTGCAGGCTCTGGTCTTGGATTAAGGAATTTAGAGTGTGAGAGGGGCTCTGAGATGAGCATGGGGCAAGCAGTTGAAGTGCCGGAGGGGGTTCTAGGTGCAGGCTCTGGGAGGGTATTTGGATATTGGGGTGCTCATAGTTAGGGTGGGGCTTGGGGTGCAGGAAAGGGTTCATGACTGGGGTAGGAGTTTGGGATGTGGGCACCAGCTGGGCCCTGCTTACCTCAGGTGACTCCTGGGTGGCGGTGCAGTGGGGCTAAGGCAGGCTCACCCCTGTCCTGGCCCTGCACCACTCCCAAAAGCAGCCAGCAAACTCCATCCCAAATCCTGCTGTGTCCCCTCTCTGCTCTGTGGAGATAGGATACAGAGTGGGAGGGGGGCACTTTAACATCAGTGCCCCCTTCTTTGCCTCTCCTGCCCTGCACAGAAAGCAGAGGTTCCAACACAAAGGGCAGGAGATGCACAGCAGTCTGTGCGGGGGCAGCTTAAGTGGTAACCTCTTGGCCATACCCGTTAGGATCCCCCACCAGAGGCTCCAAGATCTACTAGTAAATCCCGATCTACTGGTTAGTGATCACTGTTATAGACTAACAAAACATATAGATCAGTGTTTCTTAAACTTTTTAAGACCGAGGAACACCAAACAATTTTTTTTTTTTATGGAGGAACACCAAGGATTTTTTGTTGAGCACCAAAAAAAAAAAAAAAGTCGGGGGAGGGGAGAGAGTTGGGGAAAGGAAATGTTATTGAGAAAAAAAAGGATCGGGATAAAGTTATTGAGCAAAAAAAAAGTCGCCTTTAAGGGCGACCATTTTGAATTCTGTTGTTTTCCACGGCACACCTCCAACTGTGTGCCACGGAACGCAGTTTAAGAAACACTGATATAGATGGTATCATGAGCTTTCATGGCTGAAGAAGTGGGCTGTGCCCATGAAAGTTCATGATCCCATCTACATGTTTTGTTAGTCTATAAAATGTTACCAGACCATTTGTTGTTTTTTAAGATTAGCAATAGTGCTTTTCCAAAGGGATGCCAGTGGGGTAATGAAGGCACAGGTAGCCTGAAAATGGTTCTCTTTGAGGTCTTTGCATGAGATACTTCATATCATCATCTGGAAATTGCATTTCAGTGAAAGGAAAAGGCAGCTCAGCGAGGAAAATTAATGAGGCAATTCATTACTAATTTAAGGAATTTTTCCCTGCCTTTATTTTACATTAGAAATTCAGGTCTAGGCTAGGGGTGGTAAGTATCGGTTAACTGATTCGTCGAGTAACCTCAAGAATTCTCATGGGTTAGTCAACTAGTCTATAGTCCCTGGGGTGGGGCCAGCAGCCAGTGCCCTCCAGCTTACTCCTGAGGAGCCCCCTGCCACTCCGCAGCAGTGCAGGGTGCCAGGCGGAACCTGGTCTGCGACAGGAGCCAGTTTAAAAAGCAGCTTCCCTCGTGGACCAGCTGTCTGTCACCCTGTGCTGCTACCTCTGATAAAGAGGCAGTAGCGCAGGGTGGCACCAGTCCCTGTCTAGTAGGGGGTCTGAGCTCCAGGACCCGGTACAAGCTGGAACGGAGCAGGGCTGCCTGCCCACCCAACTCCTAAAACACTTTAAATGCAGAGCTGCAGCAGGGGTAGGTCCCAGACCCGTTTCAAGCCAGGACTGAGCTGGACTGCTGGCCAGCCTGCTAAAAAATTTACTGGCAAGTGTGGGGGGCGGGGGGAATGCGTGTAGTCTATAGTATTAACCTGTACGTTTTTGCTTATTGGTTAATCGGCTAGCCGACTACACTGTTACATCCCTAGTCTGGGCTAGGATGGAAGGCTTGTTGAATGGTGGACTAGTGAAGTCTCAGCATAAAAGCCAAGACAGGAAATAATAAGATGAGAACTGGGTTGTTGGTTATACTGTTTAAAAACTCTTTGGATTTTGTACATATTTGCTAGAACCTATTTAACTTAACCTACTCATTAACATTTTGGATAAATACAGCCTCTGTAAAAGATTCAACATCTTCACCCCTTCATTTGAGATGTTGTACAGCACCTAATGCTACATGGCTCCAACCTGGTTGTTCTGTGGGTACTCATCATATCCCTGAGGTCCTCCAAGAAAAGCCAGAAAGAGCAAATGTGACATTCCTGGTGTTTCCGAGTTAAATAAATAATTTTTAAAAAAGCAGGGGAAAACCTATACATACCATGCTTTCTTTATATGTTATAAACAAAAAAGCACTAGTCTGTGACTTTTAAAACTCTGCAGATTATCTAAGTGTAGCGGTGTATCTAGACTACATTTTTTTTTTGAAAAAAGTTGCCTTTTTTTTTCGAAAAAACCTCCCCTGAGTCTAGACTGCTGCTGCATTCTTTCGAAAGTAAATCGAAAGAACGCGGCAGTTCTTTCGACCGCAGAAAATCTCGTTTTACAAGGAAGAACGCCTTTTTTCGTTCTTTTGAAAGTGCTCTTTCGAAAAAAGGCGCTATGAAATGCAAACTGTGCTTTTTCAAAAGAGAGCATCCAGACTGCCTGAGTGCTCTCTTTCAAAAAAGCGGCTTGCATTTTTGAAAGTACTGGTTGTAGTCTAGACGCTCTTTTTTGAAAGAGTCTTGCAGTCCAGATGTAGCCTAAATGCACAGTTTCTTGAGCAAAACAAGGGAAATTGTGCTTTCTACAGCAGCTGGGTTGAGGTGGAAGACAGATTCCTGTGTGTGTCTGAATGCGAGGGTGTAAGTAATATGGAGGCAACAGAAAGGGCATGCTTTTTCCATCCTGCTTGGAAACATATGTCTGTAATGTGAAATTTTTAGCAGTTACATGTTTATACACGGGTGATGGGATGGGGCAGAAGCAACTCTGCAGGAGTTGTTAGGCATGGAGAACTGGCTTTTAAGCTGGCTCCCCATCCATACCCTTACTCCCTCCCACCCCTCCAATGCTGCCTCTGTATCAGAGGCAGCAGAGCAGGGGCAGGAGGCACAGGTGGGAGCTGCTGCTCATGGGATTTTAAACTTTTCAGCTGGATCCGCATGAGCACCAGCTCCCATGGAACTGCCTCTGCCCTTCCCCCTGTGCTGCTGCCTTTGTATCACAGGCAGCAACCTGAAGGAAGAGGGGCAGGCAGCTCCACAGGGGCCAGTGTTCACAGGGAGCCTGCTTAAATGCTAGCTCTGGCTCTCGCCTCCCACCCCCGCACCCAGCAGTGCCAGGGGTTGGGTCTGTGTGTACCTATGAAGGTTAACCAATGAGCCCAGATTCATTGGTTAACCATTTACACCAGTGGTCTCCAACCTTTTTACACCCAAGATCACTTTTTAAGTCTCAGAAGAGGCGAAGATCTACTGCCCCGCCCCTTCCTTGAAGCCCCGCCTACATTACATGAGGAAATCTAATGTAAATGTACTGCGCAGGTGTGCAGTTCAGAGAGGGCTCAAGAGCTACTCTTAGAGCCCCTGAGATCTACCGGTAGATCGCGATCTACTGGTTGGTGACCACGGATTTACACTTTTATGTTATCACATCCCTAGTAAGGGATGTTGGTTTTGGTGCATTACCCTAAAATCCCCAGAATTCCATTCACTTGGAATCTGTGTATCCACATGTTTTTTCTAAACTGGCTTCAAATCAGAACAGATGCATCACTGAATTACTATCGGTTTCCAGGGGTAAGGTTCTTTGATGAGCTTGAGAGTGTATTGTTTCAGTCTGGTACAGCGTATAAGGAAGGTATCTACCACCTCCTGGCTAACTACACAGAAACAATGAATCTCTGTTAGATTGACACACTTCCTTGCCAGGTCTATTAGCGAGGAGTTCAAATCATCTGAGGGGGTGGTCTTGAGCACCAGCCTGTTTAAGGTCCTGCTGTAACAGCTGGTGACAAACCTAATCTGGTTCACCATGTACGTAAAAGTGTTCAGCTGTAAAGTATCCACAGGTATGCTGGGTTTTAGGATTCTTGGTATCTTCCAGGCAGGGACTGTGTGATCAAACTCTAGTTCTACACGGAGTTGAGGATGCTTCTGGCTCACAGCAGCCCACAGCTCTTCAGAGATGACTGGAATATATTTGTCTAAGCGCTCACAGAAAATATTTAAGTGTGTGAAAGTCCCTCTCTCGGGCTTGATCAGTTCTGCAAACACATCATTAGACAGGCTGGCATAGTAGACTCCCAAGGTAGACAATTCAGGGCATACTTTCAGAACCTCTCTGATGGTTTCTGGCTTCACATTGCAAACCAAAGTGTGGTTATTGATGAACAAGCTGCGCAGGTTTGGGCTGCTGTTGGCTATGAGTCCAACAAGCCCATCATCAAGGGTGAATGGCATTCTCCGGAAATCAATATGCTGAAGATCTATTTGATTTTCTCTCTGGCAAATATTTCGTATGCTCTGCAGGATGTCCTGGCCAGAATAGAAATAAGGGTTCTCCCCTTTGCACACAATGCATAGCTTCTGCAGCTTGTGGTTCTGCCTGGCCAACATGTCTAGAACATGGGTGACATTCTTCCGATTTATTTCCTTGGATTGATCAAACACAATCGTCAGGTGTTTTATCTGGCTCAGAAATTGGTGTAAACTCTGTAGCATACCCTCCTCATTCTCCAAAACACAACTGGAAAAGCATTATGAACACAGTTAGTTGTTTCACTGGAGCTGTAGTAAGTGAACACAATGTCTGTATTTTACTTAGAATCACTGTCTATTATTATTTATCTTCTCTGCTGCCTTAGAAGTTGGTTGTCACTTAATGATTAGGAGGCAGTGTGATTTAGAACAGGGATTTTCAAACTCTGGGTCACAGCTGGTAGAGGCAAGCCGCTAGCTGACTGCAAGATACTTTCACCTGTATCTGTAGAGACATGGGTAAACAAAGCATCTTGAAGCCAGCTAGCAGCTTACCCTTACAAGCCACTGATTTAGAGAAGACCTGGGTTTAACTCCCAAGCCTGCCATTGACTTGCTATGTGATGCTGGACAATGATTCTCATGATTTGTGCCTCTTTTTTCCCCACCCAATTCTGATCTGTCTTGTCTATTTACATTATAATTCCTTGAGGACAAGACTCTCTGTAGGTTTTTTATGGCACAATAGAGCCCCAAGTTCTGGCTGGTCCGGTAAGTGCTACTATAATACAAACAACAGTTAGCTATTGGAATCTGTCACTATGTACAACCTGGCTGGGTTGATTTAGTTGGAATTGGTCCTGCCTAGAGCAGGGGGCTGGACTTGATGACCTTCTGAGGTCTCTTCCAGTTCTATGATTCTATAGGAGATAGGTTCTGGTCCCATGGAGCTTACATTCAAACTCCCTTTTCCCTCTGTCTCATGCACTAGAGCTCAGACCGTTAGCTTAAGAAGTGCCAAATAATCATTCCAGCGACCTTGGCTGAAGCTTTCTTTTTGCTCCTGAATGTGGCCTACTGGTTCGAGCACAGGACTGGAATTCAGGAGACCTGCACGGTATTCCTAACTCTGCTTGCTCTATGGCCCAGAGCAAGTCTCTTCCCCTCTCTAAAATGTGGATAAAGAAACTGTCTTTCTTTGTAAATGCCTAGAGATCCATGGACGAAAAGTGCTATAATATAAAAGCTAGATATTATGATCTAGTCCTTTCCTTGACTTATGATTCAGAATGCTTTCTTTTATAAAAACAACAAAAGTTTAACCCTATTTTCTCTACTACATACACAGCCATTATTTGTATGAGGTACTGTTACTTGTATAGTTTCATAGAAAATAAAGCCACAGGGGACCATTGTGACCACATAGTCCAGTGGCTCTCAAACTTTCCAGACTACTGTGTCCCTTTCTAGAGTCTGACTTATCTTATGAACCCCCAAGTTACACCTCACTTCAAATATTACTTATTTACAAAAATCAGACAAAAATACACATCACAGCACACTAGTACTCAACAATGGATGACTCTCTCATTTTTACCATATAATTATAATAAATTGGAATATAATAATTATATATAATAATTACATATATATATATTGTACTTATATCTCAATCTGCAATATATAGAGTATTATAAGTAAGCAGGGGTGCTGGAAGTTTTTATAGTGGAGCGGCTGAGAGCCATTAAACCGGAGGCAGGCAAGGTG